TTTCAATAGAGTTAATACAAAAAATCTTTCTGGTCACCTAATTAAATAATTTGACATTTTTGCATCCAAAACGAACAGCATAAAAATAAAGATTTAAGTCATAGATCACTTATTTTACATGCTTGAAGATTTTATCTAAGTCTATAAAAATGATATTTCCTTAATGCAAATAAGTTATTGTAATTATTTAAGAGGTGATTTCTTTGAAACAGTCATACCATGGAATTTTAAAAAGTTAAGTGTTTGCGTGTATTTTAGATGAAGGTGCATGTTCAATATATAAACAAAAGATAGAATCATACAAAACTCTAGTTTCTACTATGGACATTTCTTCTTTTTATGGTAACTGTAGTGAAACAAAGTTACTAATGCCTCTTCGTTATGTCTATTTTCCTTTTGTGTTCAGAATTCAGGGTAGGTAAGCATAAGTATCATATTCATGATCAAACTCAAGTCAGCCTTGTGCAGAGTTAGAACAACCAAAGGAAAGTTTCAACTTATTTTATTTCTGGGAGATTTAAACATAATTATGGGATACTTTTCTTTTCCTTAGACTAGAAGTTAGAACAAGTCACGATAAGCATTGTTACTATGAAGTTGGTTACTCCAAGTAGCACTTCTGGCAGCATTCAAAATATTCAAAAATTAATTGACCACTGACAAGGTTTCCCCTTGCATTTTCAAGGGACTTTTTTGTGAGCCAGTACCTGCTTAATGGAGGGTATAAATACAGACCATAAAACAAACAAGCAGTTGGCAAATGGATTTCGCTTTGTCAATTCAACTGGTTTACTAATCCATTGAAACATTTCATTCTTCTGATGTGGATTCTACAATGAAACCAGGGTATGAACTTTTCCCTTTTCAAGGGATTTTACCAAACACACCTTAACGTGTGTCTTTCCATTTTCGGGGGTTATTTAAACACACCGAAATGTGTGTATGTAACTTTCCCCTTAAATGTGTCGTGATCTTACCCTATGTTTCAAGGGTCTTTATTCACCACACGATGTATAAAATATCCAAATAAATTGTCATTTGTTGATAAACAAATTTTTATCTTTTTCATTTTAAATTAACTTGTTTACTTCATCATTGCGTTGTTACGTCTGTTTGTATGTACGTTGGGTCAAGATTGCTTTCTTCCGGACAGCACCCGGAATAATTAGTAATCGCTGCCCCTATCTCATAGGAGTTAGCCCCAACAACCAAACACTTTCGGCGCCCCATAAATCCCGTAACTGCTACTGAGAAAATCAACTCCCGCAGCAGAATAATTTTAAAAGAAAGTAGGAAATTGTGTATGTAGATGATTAGAGTAGTGTCAAAATATCAAAGAAATATCAATTAAAAAAAAAAAAAAAAAAAAAAAAACCAGCTTCCAATTGTTATTGATTTTTTGTCGTTGAAAAATAATCAATTGAAACAAAAAACAAACTCATTTGCAAACGTTTGCTATTAAAAAGACCAGTGAAAAAAAGTGAGCATTAAAACTTAAAACTTTTTAAAACCATCAAAGTGAAAAATCAGAATGTTTTAAGTAGGGTTTAAGTTTAACTAACAGAACTGCCCAAGACATTTTAATAAAACAGTATTTATTTTTGTTATCCAACCAATTGTTTAAATTAAATTTAAACATATTTCCTTTATTTTTTTTTACAAATTGTCAATGCAGTTTATTTGGTCTAGCAGAGAAAACGAAACTGAAACAAAGTTTTATAAGATTTTATTAGAAAAAAAAAAAAATTATACAATCATCTGGATCCTTGAAAGAAACAAATGACGATAAGAATGATTTCAATATAAGAACTTGTGCCTACAAGAGCACTTTGAGCTGTCAAAATTCGTATTTATGAAAACAAATAAAACAAGAAGGTAAAAAGGACAATTACTGTTAAGATTTTTGCTTCTTACTCATCTGGGGAAAAATTCCTCCTTAATGAAACAGTTTCATTAATGCTTACTTACTTTCTTTTCTCTAAGAATAAGAAAGCAGCTACAATTGACCCATAAAATATTTTTACAGCAATTAATGAGTTGCAAACATTTAATCAAAGAAAATATAAAGGTCATTTGATTCTCTTCCTCTTGATACCCCGAAATTTATAAAGCATTTTTTTGACGGACATTATCAGTTGGGGGGAAAATGACCCAAAGTTGGAAACATACAATAATATCGACAATGGATTCAAATAGTCGTTTTTATCGACAATGAGATCAACTTATGAGGCAATCACAAAATAAATTCAACTTTATAATCAGTAATTTCTTACACGGATCGTTTCAATCGATTTATTTGAATTTGTTCACTTTCATATTTCTTCTATTTTTTTAAAAAAAAAAAAAAAAAAAAAAATTTTTTTTAAACCAACTTTGCATAAGCATTATTATTCGGAATAAATCTCATTTAAGAACATCAGGCTTTCCTTTAAGAAACTGTGGACATCGCCAGTTCTTTGCCCAAACAAGGTTTATTTACAATACAATATTGAGTACATAACACTCTTCCCAATAAAATAAATTAAGATTAATGCAGTTTATATACTTTCAATTTTTTAAATTCAAGGAACTTTGAAAATCTAAATATGATAAAAAAAAAAAAAAAAAAAAGAGTTAAGTTAACCGAACGCATTTTGTGAATTAGAATCCTTATTGGCACTTATTGTATATAATTTTTTTTTTTGTTGAAACAAATCTTACCGAGTGCTTATGATCTTATTCTTATCAATGTTGACAGGTGAAGCAATGAAAAAATATTTATAGTTTGCTTTCAGTTTTAGGGGCACTGAACGGAAGACTGGGTGGCTTTGAATTGAAATCTCTTCTTTTCACATAAAGTAAAATTTAACATCCGTTTTGTCATCAGGAACGAACGAGCAAATAGAATAAGTAAATTAAAAAAATAGGAATATTTAAATTTAAAAAAAAAAAAAAACTTAAAATTATGCAGTTCTAGTACCCAGATTTTTTTTTAAGTCATAAAAAAAACAGTCAAAGTTTTTTTCTTCGAGGGAAAAATCACAAACGAATGGATTTGTTTGCTACAAATTATGAAGAAATTTGTTAGAATATATTTTTTATCAACATACAAAAATAAAATTAACTTTCAATAAAAACTCATAACTTGTGTAGGATAATGTACGTTATCTTCTACAACATAGATGTTCGCTTCAAAACATTTCTAGAAACTAAACAGCAAATAAACTGATGTGTCATCCAATAAAACACTATAATAATAAAAATAAATAAATAAAACATTCCATTTATATTTACATTAAATTTGCTTTCAATAAATATTTTTATAATCCAAGAGAAAACATGATTTCCATAAGGATATTTAATAAAAGGGAGATTACCTCAAACATCGACTGATTGATAAACTTGATTATTTTTATATTTTAAGTTATGAATCACACAAAATATGAAGTGATTTTTGAAAGGTACTAATCTGCATTGAAAGAAATTTAGAAATATAATTTTGCAAATTCAATTTTGACATCCGTAGAACTACATAAAAAAGTGTAAGAAATTGAATAAATAACAGAGGATGAAATAAATTTATATATCCTTGAGATTTAGAAGGAAAAAAAAAGGTACATTTTAATTTAAATTTAGAAACATTCTGTAACGGGGGGGGGAAGAGAGAGAGAGATATATAGAGACTTATCCTGGACCCATGTGTTCAAGCGTGATATGCACACCTGTAGTTTGGTTAGGAATTTTAGATTTTCATTCAGTTTAACACAATTCCAATTTTAAACAGAATTTATTATTATTACTACACATGGAAGTTTTCTAAAATAAGAAACAGTTTCGAGAAGAATTATGTTTAGATTGGCACACCACAAGTTCAGATAAAGAAAAAGTTATTGTTTAGTTTACTGTTTACTCTGGCAACGACAATATTTTTTGTATCTAATTTTAATTTTCAAATTAAAAAATTTAATAAAATTAATCCGTTTTTAGGGTTTAGAGACTTAAAAAAAAAAATATTGCATAGTGCTTTTAAAGTTTAACGGATGACTAATTGATAATTTAATAATTAGATAAAGAAAGTGCTTTTTTATTAGACTTAAAAAAATTAAGTGATGCCTATAAAAAAAAAAAAGAAAAAAAAAAGAAAAAAGCGATTCATTTTTTAAAGTAATTTATAAGATTAATGACTTCAAAGAGCAGGAAAAACTTATATCTAGCAAGAAATGTGAAAAAAAGCTTGCATAGACATTGTCAGCGTAATTTTTTTTTTTAAATTACGCAACCCTATTGACAGATATGGCAATATCTTTTTTACTAAGTAATATGAAAAATATTATAAATAATAGAAAAATAGATGAACTGTTGTTGGAGTCAAACCAGATGTTTATAAAAATTGACTTCGGACATCACAATTTACACAACGATCCTGACCAGAACAATAAAAATATGTTTTTACACAATTTAACTACATTCGGTAATTTAATTTGCAGTTTTAAAGAAATTGTAATCTTTCCTTTTTTTTTCTAATTAAAAAATAACCACTTCTGGAAGGAAAAAAAGACAAACCACCAGGATAAACGGAATTGAAATATTTAACAAAATTATTACTAGCTGTTCAGTTGAAATTCAGGAAAATACTTATGAGGCCTAAAAAGGTAACGTGGGCATTTAAACAAACCCGTAGAAAATAGTTTTTTTTTTTATTTCAACTGGGGACTTTTCGAGATTATTAGAGTCGGTATTTAAATTATAAGTCTTTTATTTTTAAGAACTATATTGAAAAGCTACAAGATGAGTTTTAAAACGGACAAAATCTAGCATCAAAAAATGACATTAGAGAAACTTGCAATAATTAAAATCAAAAAAGACCTATCTCGGTAAACGTCAACATCTCTCAGCGAGATGAAAGAAGAAAGAGGATTGAAAACTAGAAATTTTCTATAATTTAGTCGTGCCATCTTAATTAATACCAACTTTACATACTTTCAGAATTTTGTTTCTCGTAAAATACAGATTATACTTACATTTTTTTCAGCTTTCATTTGATTTTGAGAAGCAAGCATCATTAACTGCTGGAAGTCCATCCTGTCGCTTTGATGGTCGAATACTAAATGCTAAAAACAGCTAAACGTTTAATTCTACATAACCAGCTGTTCATTTCCTAGCGCCACCTTCCGCCAGGGGGACGTAATTCATGTCCACAACTTGATTCATTTCAATGAAGTTTAGCTTTTTAAATTAAAATTAAAAAGTACGGAGGAGCTATAATTTTAAGTTTTCTTTGAATTTTTGAAATCCATTATGAAATTGCATTTTTTTTAAATTTAAGAATAGTTGGTAACTGGATGATGCTAAATTATAAACATTCAATATTTATTAAAAAAGCACCAATAATGTTCTAGTCTTTTAGGATCAGAAAAGATCTTTTAAAGCTGACACTTTTTGTTATTTATAAATAAATAAAAAAAACAACAGAATAATGACTATATAAATAATAAAACAAATAAAAAATATAATAATTCATATCTATTGCATATCTATGAGAAAGTGTTTAGCTATTAAATTCTCTGATATTTTTACTTTATTAAAAAATTATAGCATTGAAATAAATAGAGCATTTTAAATTTTAATTGTTTTTTAAATAATTTTTATCAAAGAAATTTTTTCTGAAAAACAAACATCTTTCAATTTGAAATTTTGATTCATGCTTTTTTCAATATTTACTAATATTAAACAAAACATGCTATAAAATTTTATTCTCTTATAAATTACAAAACTTTTGAATATTCATTAATAAACTCTATAAAATTCTGTACATTTTGCTATCATTTAAAAAAAATGAAAAGGTTTGGTTTATAGAAATAAAACAAATACATAAATGTTTATTTATAAATTATCTATATTTTTTAATAAAATGATAATATTAAAATTGTATGAGAAAAATAATTAAATGTTGGAATTGTGTTATTTAATGTAGAAACTATTTTAATAAAAATGATATTAATAATTAAATTGTATGAAAACTAATAAAGAAAATTAGAATATTACTAACACAGTTTCTTTTAAAAAAGAAACCACCAAAATGAAGACGGACGATTTATAAGAGAACATTCATAAAAATTGATGCATAAAAATTTGAAAAAAAAAAAGAAAATTGATGTTAAAAAAAACCATGAAGACAATGGTGCCTTAAACCTCTTCAAAGTACACTTGTTAGGATGTCATACATTTATGCCAATATTCTTTCTACTTTTAAAAACATTCTGAAAAGTCATTTTTTGGGATCTCTACTAACTGTATCCTCCCTGATCTCATAGTGATCTCAGTATAAAATCTCTTTTACAACAGTAATTTTAACTTTGGAACAAATACAGAAGTTGCAATGTATCAAATCTGGACCGCAGTTGGAGTCGACATACCTGGGTAATGTGATGTTTTGTTGGTGAACCCTGTACTGGACATGAAAACTGGGCAGAGACATTGTCATGAGGAATGTAATGGGCATGCAATACACAAATTCACTGAACATCATCTGACTACTGACTGATTAACCCCAGCAGTGGGGATGTGGGGGGTTTATATTGTGCAGTAAGGTTCCCTCTGGTTGGCTGCCAAGTTACATCAAGCCCATCCCACTAATACTTGAGATTATTTACAATACATTCAGACTAACATGCTCATCTTTGTTATTATGATAATAAGATGAGGACAATAGTCTGAATGCAAATAATGATAATTCTTCATCCCAGAAACTTAGACAGAAATTCTTGAGATATTTGAAATGGTGGGATACTTTCCTAACACTTTATGTCTATTTACACCCCCTACATCTCTAGACTGTGATAAAATCAGTTACCTTTTATAAAGATTTATTATTTACTATTTTATAAAGAAATAAATTTGTAAAGAAAATTTTTTTATTCAAAAATTTATTAAAAAAATGAAAAATTAGACAACTACAATGCAATACTTATTATTATTTACCATTTTAGAAATAACTATGAAAACAAATTTTTTCATAATTTTATAAAAATATCAATGAACTTTAAAACAAAAAAAGTAGAGTAAACATATGATATTTATTTAGCTTTTTGAAACAATAAACATTTCCAAAGGTGTTAAAAGTGTATACAGTAATAGCAGCATCAAGGGAATTCTTTTGACATATTGTTTTTTTTTCATAAACAAAGGTTAAACATGGCTGAACACTCCTTGTCTAAACCACTCTAAAATGTATTTATTTTTTGTACTAAAGCAGAGTAAAGCTTTCTAAGCTACACCATTCTCCCATGTGCTATTGCAAGTTCATAAGAAATTTAAGGCAAACTAGAGATTCCATATTGAATATTTCTAACATATTTGGATGCATATATTTAAATTGTATACTGTATTGTACATAAATTACTGTACTGTATTGTACATAAGAGTACAGACTGTACAAATCGCTGGTAGTCTCCATTCTCCTTTACAGAAATATGGACACTGTTGTTTGATACAGAAAGGAGGATCCAAGTGGTTGAGAACAAATGCATGAGAAAACTCCTTTGCATTTTCTATTGGGAACATAAAATTAATGAGTTTGTGCAGAAAAGAGTTGAAAGTTTTGTGGGCCACCAGGAACCTCTTCTTACCACTGTTAAATGGAGAAAAATCACATGGTTTTGATACATTACAAGGCACAACAGCCTGTGCAAGACCATCATGTAAGGCACCATTGAAAATGGACGTAGGTGAGGACACCAACGTAAAAACTGGTTGGACAATGTCAAACAATGGACAGGTATAACTATACCAGAATTGCTGATGGCTGCCGTTGATAGAGTGTTATGGGGGAAATTTAGTGTGCTTTTGGATCCACCCCGCTACAATTGCAGAAATGAAGTGGATGATGATGATGATAATGACGATGATGATGAGGATTCTACATAAATTACTGTACTGTATTATGTATGCATTATTGCACTCTCTTGTACATTTATTATTGCATACATTATTGCACTGTATTGTATATAAATTATTGTGCATGTTTTACTTCACTGTATTGTATATACATTACTGTACTGTATTCCTGTATTCTGCATGCTTTCCTCTTCTGTATTATGCATGCATTATTGCATTCCATCATGCATTACTGCACCATATCATGCATGTATTAGTGCACTGTATTGTGCAAGCACCATTTGAATATTTCTATTTCTATTTTTTAAATTTAAATGTACTTTCTCTTATGTCAGAATTTTTTAGGTGAAAATTATCATTATGTCTTTTCATTCAGACTAGTATCCTCATCTTGGTTGTTATACTTAGCAGCATTTCAGCCATTGCATCCTTTAGTCTTCTTCCGGTATCTGCTGTACATGGTAACCATATCAGCATTCTGAACTGAACCCTTTATTCAGTCTTTTGGGCATAAGGAATAACTCATATCAGTTAATTCTCTCTCATTTATTCACCTATATGTCATATTTCCATTTCTTTCCCTGAAAGAGAGCATATAAATTTGCTGCACTACCTAACCCAGGTATAGGTAGAATACAGTGGCCGTTCATTTTAGTTTCACTTTGTGGGTCCATCCCCTCCCCTCATTTTATGTCATTATATTTTTAAAAAAATGGAAAAAAAATCATGAAAGAAAAAAGGATATTTGTACATAATTAAATTTTTATGCCATGGGGATTTTTGTAGGTGCCCTGTGAAGATATGCTGGATTGAATGGTGATGGATGAGTTTTTGTGGTGAATGAGCAAATTGTAATGCATGAATGGGTTGTGAATCTGATCAGCTAGGTTTAGGATAGAAAGTGTTGGCTGGCCTCTCCCTACTTTGGTCTTGTGCCGCAATTGTTGTAAATAAACAATAATAAATAATCATTCCAACAGTTCATGTAGAAGGTGTCCCCAAAGCCACCAGGTTCAGAATTGGGCCTCAAAGAATGTTGATGAGTAGACCAACATAAAAAAGGAAGTGAACCCAGCTGAACTTAGGAAATGCACACACACACAAGACAATCACATAACAGAAAGTTACATAAATAAAGTGAGTAACAGAATCCCTCAAATCCTTGCAAGAAGATCAAACTTTCAAAGAAAGACCTGAAACAACATAACCTTGATTTGAACAATGTGAATTTGATGGAGTTCAGATGTGAATAAACAGTTATTTTACATGTGAAAAATCTGGTATCATTCTTGTCAGACATTACTAACATAACCTTACAATTATTTTTCATTTTAATTTTGTTTAATTCCTTTTCATCACTTTATGCCATCAGGCAAATAAAAAATTAAGATGGAAGAAACATTTTTCTAGTGCCATGTACTTTTTTAGGCTTTTCCACAGATTTCATTTCTTTTCTATTTGAATTTCCATGACTTCTTGGATAAGATAATGGAGTGATTTCCCATTGGCTTCTGCATGATCTTAAATCTAGCTACCAGTCAAGGTTAGAGAGATCAGTGTATATATATATATATATATATATATATATATATATATATATATATATATATATATCCAAGTATAGGATTAGTGTATACGGAATAAATTCCAATAACCAACAAATACTTAGTAGAGTAAATATAATTATTTATTTGAAAATTATAACACAAGATATTTATGTTATAATTTTGAATGAATATATATATATATATATATATTTATATTTTATTTTTTTAATATATATATATATATATATATATATATATATATATATATATATATATATATATATATTCATCAAAATTTACAAAAAACTAATAATATTTGCTCATGCTTCATCAAAAAATAAATAAAATAATATTGTTATCATAATGTTTTGTTTAATATTATAGATTAGACATTAGAAGATACATTAAAAGGACCATATATGTACATAGGAACAACTTAAAGACATCAAAAGAATATAGGCTATTTTTAAAAATTTATTTTGTAAATAATACATTATAATTTTTATCCTAAGAAATAGAGAATTTAAACTTAAAACACATAAAACTTGCTTTGACTTAAATCCTATGCAATGTTTTTGAGTTGTAAATCAGCCTATTGATAAAATTATTTATGTAAAGTGTAAACACAGTTGGAATCA